GGGTTTGTTTGTTTGCTTTTCTCTTAGAAGAACCAGTCGAGAAAAGCAAACAAGAATCCTTCTCCAAGTCTCCTTCTGTCGCTGCCGTAACACACACCCCCGACCCCCAAATTTGGCCCTTGGAAATTAAGCACATCCACTTTAACTGGCCTCTGTCACAAAGCAGCTCTCTTGTTAAGCCCCTGCTCAATTGGAAGAGGAAGGCTTCTTGTAGAGCGATCCTGCCTGAACCAAAAGAGTAGCCCCCCCCTTGACAGAGGCTAGAAAGGTGGCAGTAGAAATCTCCCCCCCCCCCCGTCTCAAAGCCAACAGGTTTCATCAAGATGCTGTCTAATCCAGCTAATCTGTTCCTCCCTCCCAAGGGGTTTCACTTGTTTGAATGGATTCCGTTTATGTTCTCCAGAAGGATCTTGCAAGCCACCGTTTGGTCAATTAGGATCTACTGGCCAATCTCTGCACTCCCTCCCTCCCGCTGTTGTCCAGGGCTTTGCAACAGAACAGCCGGGATCTTCAACTCCTGGTGGCTTAACATGAGCCAAAGTAAAAAGCCCTCCTAAACGAAGTTGCTAAAATCGAGAAAGCTGGGGGAGGAAGCAGGAGCGGGTTTGGTGAACCACCAGCGATTGCCATAGTTTCCCTCTTACGTACAGTACATGCGCTTCGTTTCTACCTGACCTCCTGTCCCTGCAACCCACGCGCCCCCTCAAATCTGCGTTTGCACATCGCTAACTCAGGCGAATACTTCCTGCCTGGGATGAGGCAGAACCCTGTCCACCAGAATGCATTTGTGTCTCCATTGTACAGTGCCATGCAGTCATGTGGTTATCTTTGTTCCAATGAACTAGCCATGTAATACCTCTGGAACAACCAGATTTGTGTCTGGGGAAAAAAAAGGGTCTGCTGGCATTTAGCAGCTCCGGGTCTGGTGCTGTGAGCCACGACTTTGCACCTGCCTCTCCCGAGAAGGTGGAAAACGAGAGTGGGTGGGTGGCTCTTTCTGGGTGCAAAGTGGAGACGGCCATTTAGAGTCATATGATTTATGAGACAGGGTCCTTCTTAGTGAATGGGGACTCAAGGTCGAAACCTTTAGAGACCCCATTGACCAAATTTCCAGCTTGGTCCTAGGAACCCTTTGAAGGGGTGAAGGGCTCACAGTCAGAAAAGTATTGCTGCGTTTGTTTTTCGCCTATTCTCAGATTGCTCCGCGGGGATCCCTGCGTAAGCTTCCAGGGGTGAAAGGGACTCCTCCAATGATCGTTTAACCATCGACACCACAGAGGAGGCCCTTAGAGGCAAACTCTGCAATTCTGAAACAAAGGTATATACATAGGCATCCTTCAGTCTCGAGAGACTATGGTAACATGCTCTGAATTGAGGAGTGTTCTCTCCAGAGCATGAAGCCCGGGTAAGGTTATATGGAGGATAGGCTGTTACCCAAGCAGCAGATCCCCCCTCTCCACATTGCTGAAATGGTCCAATTGAAAGGCAAGAGCCAATACAACTGGTTCCAGCAATGTCGCAGGAGTTGGCAGAACGACACATACTGCCTTCGGGACTCCAGCTCCGGATTTTGCCTTGAGGTAGCACACAAATATTCCCCCCTTATAATTGAAGGTTCCTTATTTGTGAATCTGGTGTCACTGAAGGTCAGGACTCTTACGTTTCATATGGTCTGCTCCTACAGATGAGACCACCGTGTTGTCAATAAAAATGTCGATTCATTGAAGGTGATGTGGTCGAAACACACGGTGACTCACTGTCCTTGAAAGGGGGATTTGGAGCAACCCAGAGAACCAAGGTGGAATTCTTTGTAACTGGGGAACGGTTTGGGTGGCTCCAGCCTTGGAGGACTGCGTGCATTTCAATTTTAATGGTACGTTAGAACAAAAAAGCTGAAAAACCAATGCACACGTTATCCATATATTTGCATTCTCTTGTCCCACCGCCTGTGGTTCAGCCGCACAAATGTTTATATTCACAACTGGTCGGTGTGGCTGAAATGACTTGTGGTGCCATCAAAGTTGTGCGACCCGAACGCAATTTCTCAGAACCTTTGGCAACAGGGAAAAGCCTCTCCACAGTCCGAGCACAAGAGAAGCATCTCGAGAGAAGGTTCTCGTCCTAGCGATGTCCTTTCCAGTCTCAAAGTGAAGTCTCCTGCCCTCACCGGAGAGGCTCTGCTTCGGGCCATGAATCATTGTTTCCCTACAGACCACAGGGTGGTTAATAAATGGGAATCAACAATTCAAGGAAAGAGGACCCTGCGGGCTCTGGAGGCTTTCCAGGGGGGCGAAGCACTAGACGCTGGGAGGAAAGGGGCAAGTTTAACAAAGGAAGAGAAAAAAGAGGAAGTGACGGGAAGGGCCACAGCAGAGCATCTCTGCTTAAAAAAAACCACAAATAAATCTCTCACCCCCTGGATGTCTGTCTCACGTACCAACCTGTGGGGGTGGGGAAAGGGGGCGTCCGTATCACCCCCACCCCTAGATCTTCTCTGATTCTGCACACCACCGCCCCCAAGTCATTTTGTGAAATGGGGGGGGTGGCAGCCCCTTAATGACAATGCCCAGAGCACTGACTCAAAGATCCATAGAAACCTGGGGGGGGGGCAGAAGATGGATCCGCTCTCCTCTACCCAAAGCGTGCCAAGGGGGTCTACAGGACACGGGCAGGAGGCGTTCACAAATCCAGTGCCTGGTGTGAAAATGCAGCCGGAGCCGATCAAAATTTAAATCTAACCAAAACAGGATGAAAAGGGGTGCCCCTTCGGCTCATCCTAAATCTGCAGTTCAGTCAGGATCTGAATTCCCCTCTTTCACATACGATTCTGCCGCTGCTCTTTAGCCACCACCTGATGCAGCTACTGCAGGACATTCCACACACGCAAAAGTTCTCCCCCCATGGCAAGGTCTGGACTCTACACGGAAGTATGGGGGCGACACGCAAAAGTTCTCCCCCCCCCCCATGGCAAGGTCTGAACTCTACACGGAAGTATGGGGGCGGCAGCATTTTGGAAGGAGTGAACCGCTTTTTTAAAAAAAAGCCTGGGTTCCCACCCATTCAAAACGGTTCCAGCGTGACTCCCACAGCAGCAGCATGAATCACTACGGTTGTGTTTACACGAGGAAGTGATTGCCGCTGGGTTCTGCTGTTAACTGCCACGGCTTCGCCCTTTTGGCTGCTTGGGATCCGTAGTCTGGAGAGGGATTTAGGATCCCCTTTCGCGGCCAGGCGCAAGGGCTCCCTGGCAGAGAACGCCCCTCTCCGCCCTGGAGGTCGACCTCGGAAGAGAGACCCGGAACCCCGTTTAGCCGAAGCCTCTTGGGGGTCCTCTGTGGCCGGGAGCCGGGTCTCGTCCTCCGATCTCCCCGATTCAGAGCAAACACCGACAGGTGAACGTGCACCCAAACACCACTTCGGACTTGGCGTTCCCCACGCAGGGGGCCTGACCGGTATCCACGTTTTGAGGTGGTGTGGAGTCAGGACTGGGCTTTTACGCATCACCTCATCAAGGTTAGAGCTCTACCCACTTCCTGGACAGAAGGGGCAGAAAGGCGCTCAGCGGCCGCCCTTTGAGGCAGGATCCTCCATATGGTTCGCTCCTTTGAAAGTCTATAATCCAAGAGGCAACACATTGCAAGCTGAGAGCAGGAGCCGGCCATTCCGTTGGAGAGGCCTCAGTGGGTTCTGGGTTTCTCGAGTAAGTGAGCCTGGCTGCATTCTACCCAGCGAAGGAAAGGCAAAAGGAGCCCTTGAGCTCATCTGGTTTTGTCCAGCCCTCCCCGAGTCGGCGACGGGCTTCAGCTCCCCCTGCCTTCCCGTGCCAAACCCTCCCACCCCCTTCATGCAGAGAAAGAAAACCCAGGACTTTTCCTACCTTCTATGGGTTTCGGTACAAAATGTGACGAGGGCTTAGTCTTTTTCACCCGGTTCCCCTTCATGATCTGCCCTTCTTTATTGAGTCCCAAGAACCAGGCTCGCCCGGATTCTTGCTGCCGATACAGCGTAGAGGAGTAAATAACGTAGTAGTTTTCAAAGACCGACTCCTTAAATTTGCACTCGGGCGTGAAGATGTCCTGCAGGGAGTCGGGAGAGGAAGGAAGAAAACCCAAGACCGGGAATGGATGAGTTTGAAGTGGCTGGAAAGAAACCGCCCGCCCGCCAACCACCGCTTTGTATAAATCTCTTTCCAGAACAGAAAATAAAATGAAAAAGATGCAGCTCTAGAGAAACATGAAGGCGGAAGGCAAGAGGGTCCCTGCTGGGTCAGAGGGGAGGCCCCTTTTCAGCCCTTCTCCCCCCAGAAGAGCCGGCCCCAAAGGTCTCTAGGAAGGAAGGCAGCGAGTAGCAGGCCGGGGGTGGGGTGGGGTGGAAGCACATTCGGAAGCTGCTCAGGGCCCCAAGGGGCTCCACCCTGAGCGGGAGACCAGCTATGTGTCCCTCCTGGGGAGGTGGGGTGCACAGAAAATGCACGGAGAAGCCAAGGAGGGGGGGAAGAAATGCAAGCACCGCTTCCTTCAACCTGATGCCCAAGGGCGACGCTAGCCAGGGATGAATGCAGGCGTCGCTCGGTCCATCTGGAGGGACCAAGCAGGTTGGGGAAAAGACGTGCCAGCCGTGTCTCCACACCTTCTTGGAACCTCAGTGAGGAAAAGCCCACAAGGAGGGATGGAGCCATGAAATCATCGAGTCGGAAGGGACCCCAAAGGGATCAAGGTCTGAGACCTGCCTCATGAGCAGGTCCTGCTTGGCCAAACTCCCACTTAATCTCCCGGGAAGGAGTGGCTCCCGTCCTTTGGACGCACCCATTCTATGGTCCAACAGGACCAGCCGCCAAGCGGTATTGCTTCTGGGCATCCTGTGGCAGAGAACCATTCACCGTGGCCCCAGAGAGCAGGAGAGAAGATGGGTGGGTGCCTGGGCCAAGTTTGGAAAAGTTCCTTTGGCCGGGGGGAGGGGGAGGGGAGAATACAGCAACCAGAATCTCAAACATGCAACTTTTTCAAGTTCAGGGCCACTGGTGTTTCTCATCTCTGACCCTTCTAAGGCGGGCACAGGAGCTTCTCCCTCTATAAAACTGATACAAAAGGGAGACCGTTAAAAGACCTCGTTCTTTATTGATCACCAATTACGCTAATGGTTTAAATGGAAATCCATTTTGCAAGTCCTGCCAGAGGAGCTATTTTGCAGACCCTGGAGGACGAGATACATAAGAAATCCACAACATTGGTGTCTAGCCTTTGCAGAAAGAACCCCATTTCTTCTCCTTACAGAACATGCTTTGAACAAAAGATGAAGAGAGAGAACGAGAGAGAGAGCTGTTTTACTCCTTTTGCACAACTATTTTGCTAAACCTATTCCCTCCCAGGTGCCTTTCCTCCACAGTGGGTGGTGATCTGGAATCAATGAATTACAATAACGAAGTCTTAGAGGCCACACATCTAACCGACAGGCACTGGGAAACAAGACAAAAACAGTGTTATGTGAAAGAGTGCAGAGTTGAATGGGGTCCGCCAGGATGGCTGGTCCTGGACCTCCTAACCAAAATAAAGTTTTGTTTTCTTATTTAAGTTCCATTTACAGACGTATACATTCAATGGTACACTCCTTATCTCTGCCAAGGGGAAATCCTGGTTATTTGTTGCTTCTTTAGTGGGTGAAACTCAAACCGGGTGAAATCCTAATGGACTTTTATTCCACGTTCTCCAGCTCTTTCTGCTCAGCTACCAGCTGTGTCCCCTGCAGAGTTCCCTTGCTGTTCTTCCTGAAGGATTCCACATAACCACTTGCCCCCCTGCACTCCATTGCAAAGCCACTGATCTGGTGGAGGGGAGAGCAGAGTAAGCGTTTACCTTTTCCTTCCTGGCTATTAATCTGCCATTACACAACCACATTGCAGGTCACGTCAAAGGACTACAAGGTTCCCCTTCCTCTCTTTTCTGTTGGGCTACGGAAGATGCCCTGAATAGCCAACCAGGGCAATTAAGCAAGGGTTTCTAATGCCATCCAAGATTGAGACACCTTCTTCCGACCTGGAACTGACCACCATGGAGCAGATTCTGCAACCCCCACTTTGCAAATGGCTTTAAACAAGAGGACCTTCTCCCCCCCACCAACAATCTGGTCATAGACGTCAGGAACTTTGATGCTTCCTTCTTCTGCACCTCTGCCAGCTCCGTAACGGCCAGCATGAATGGACAACATTTAGCGCTCCAGATGTTTTGGACTTCAACTCCCAGAATCCCCAGCCTCTCCTGCCTGTGGTACAGGACAATGGGAGTTGTGGTCCACAAATCTTTCATGCCAAAGGTTCACATCACCCAGACCACCCTCGCACTTGCATTAAACTCTTGAACAGCTCAAGATCTTCTGACATCGACCACATAATTGCAGCTAAAAGTGCACAAGCTCCCTTCGCGTATTTTATATTTCTTGATTTAAACATAAATTTTAAAGGGATGCAATTTGCAGTGAAATTTAATTGGGACCGCTGGGAAATTGGCACTCTTTAAAGCCCCTTTTGCAAGATGCTGCAAGATCCCACCTTCCTTTGCCTCTTCCCATCCAGGAGAACCACAAGCTTGGTCAGCTTCTGTCCCAGCAGAAGCCTGCCTGTCGACGGAGTCCAGAGCGCACGTTTCTCTCCAAATCCATGGGCAACCTAGCAGTTTGGGAGGAAGGCTGTCCCTCCTCGTCCCCACACAGATGTCCAGAGGAAGAGGAGAGGAGCCCAGGAAGAGATCTCTGGCGGCGCACAGAGTGGGTGGGTGGGAGGGAGGGAGGTCAATCCTTCTCCTGAGGGTTGTCCTGATGCCACCGACTGCAGAAGCCAGGGAAGGAATCAGGGAACAAGAAGCGTGTGGCTCCCATCACCTAGGCCTTATTTACTTTATGACAATGGTCAAGCATCTCTTGGGGTTTCTGCAGGGCCCTGGTGCTATGTCCAAGGCAATACCAAAGGTAATGCCAAGACCTGGGTGTCCGGAGCGGGGTGGGAGGCTGTGCCCGAAGGACAGAGCCCCCGCCTCCCAACCCGCCTGGCACACAGCAGGTGCCATGGTCACCCCCTGGTCTCAGTTCAGAGCAGCCCTGGGAGGGAATTTGGCCGAAAGAGCCGCCGTGGCAAGCAGACGTGGGCAGCCTGCTCAGTCTGGGCTGACTCCTTGGATGGATGCTGCCTGTGTGTCCCATGAAGTCTTCAGAACTGGCGTTTCGAGATTCCAGCGGCTGGGATTTCTACAGCCATGCCGCGTTGACCTTGCTGCACTTGAAAGGCAAAGTCGTGTGGGTTTGGCACAGGCAGTGGTGGCAACTTTGCACGGCGGGGTGAGACGGGAGGAAAGGCGCCTGCCACAGAACGACTGGCAGAACGCGGGAGGCAAGCGAGAAAGGAGGCCACCCATCCTCACCCTGTCCGTAGTCTCTTGCATCTCCACCGTGCCGACCGGCTTCTGGTCCACCAGAGAGAGGTCCTCCCAGATCCCCCCCCCAATAGCTGAAACCCTGGGCACCGGGGGTTCAGAGGAGAGCCAGGCTCTCCGATGCCCTTGATGTCTGCTTGGCTGTCGCCAACCTCTTCGCCTGCCTTGACGCCCAATTTCAGAGCTGTCAGCAGCAGAGCTGGGAATCTGACTTTCCCTGGCACGAAAAACATTCCCCACCCCGACAAAACACCCTGCCGTGTGTCCGGATTATTAAATTTCTGACAACTTGGTGACAGGCTGGCCATTGTGGAGCAATTAACTGCCGGCCTTTGGGTGGAAAGCTCAGGACGGAGGCCAAGGGATGTTTCTCCCGGGCTGGCTCTGCCATTCTGAAGCCAGGAGAAAGGCTGTGTGATCTGACAGGACAGCCGGCGTGCATGCACGTGTGTGCAACTGAGCATGCATGTGTATGCTGGTGCTCATGCACCTCTGTTCCCCTCCAGTATTACCTCTGTGCAACTCTTATGCCAGTGATGTGAACAGCAAGAAACAAGAGCTTTTGATGCCAGCATAGAGATTTTTGCAAGACTGCAAGGACAGCTGGCTGGTTTGTTGGTTTGTTTGTGGAACAAAGCAGGCACAACAAGAAGGGTGGCTTTCTAAGAGACGGGCCTGCGAGGGTTCAGAGCACTTCCTCTCCATTACGTCAGCCACGGGGATATGCCTCTGGCTGGATCAGACCAAAGGATCCTCCAGGCTGTGTGGATCCAGGCACAATTCAAACGGCTGATGGCGATCCATAAAGCTCTGGACCAGGACTGGGCAAAATGGAGGCTGGGTAGTACAGGTACCCCTAGGGCCTGATTCTGGGGACCATCTAAGGACCCCAAAAGCCACACCAAAGAAATCTGGCCATCCATGAGGAAAAGACAACCCCAGGGGAGCCCTTCGAATGATTGTGCTTCCAGCAGAATTCGCTGCCGGATTTTGGCACCTTGTGGGCATCCGGGGGCTACGGTGGCTGAAAAGAGGCGTCGGGATCCCCCCCCCCCGTAGTGCCTACTCCTGCTCTGAGCAAAGCGCCTGTCCTCCGAGAGGGATCAGCTACGCTTCCCCCTTCCTTGCCATTGGGCTGGCTTTGACCCAGAACGGGCAAACGTCCGCCCTGGGCAGACTGATCAGGTCTGTCTTGACACGTGTTTCGGTGCCCGGCCAACGTTTCTCTCTGTCGCTGCGCCCCTGGCCCGGTTTGCTCTCCCAGTTCCTGTTTTGGGGGATCCTGATATGTGCTATGTTCAGTTTGCTCTTGAAATTCAGTGACATTTTATTTATGCTTCTGAGCTCTCTAAAGGTGGAATATGTTTTAACAAACCAATGGAGTTCACCCTGTATTTGGTCAAGATGAATAAACTGGGAGTTTTCTTTTTGCTTAAACCCCAGACAGAAATTTCTGAGAGTCAGGATTGAACAGGTTTGGCAAAAGGAAAGGTTACTGAGCGTTTTGGAAGTTACAGCCCAAAATGTAACTTTGCCAAGCTCCACAGCTGGGTATTTAGGGAAGGAGGGGAGAAAGAGAAGCCCAAGTTTATCTAACGAGCTTCATGGTATGAGAGGGTGGGGAGCGGATTTGAGGCCAAGTGTCCCCTGCTAAC